TTTTTTGGGGTTTTTTTTTTTTTTTTTTTTACGAATGCAATGGAACTGAGCTGAAAAATCAGCAATTTCTGCAGATTCAACTGTGGTTGTTTGGGTGGCAAAGTATTTGAATTGTCATACATTATATATTGACTTCAAATGAAGTAATGTAAATTGAAGAACAATTTCAAAGTAGTAAAGTGTAACAGGTCTGGAGTTCCAGGGGTGGCCATGACACCTCCTGGTGGCTCCATAACTGTGCCCACTAAGACCCTAGGGCACCTTCCCACCTTTCCTGCCATGTCTTGATAGAAACATAGTGATAAATAGGAAGGCTGCTCACAGGCCTTTGCATGACCCCAGTTCCACTGAACTCCTGCTAGGGTTTCCTGATACCCTGCTGGTCTCCTGGCTTCTCACTGGGCCTCGCTAGTCCTCAGACCCCTCGCTGGGACTCACTCTGTAGTCAACTGTACCTGGGAGGGCACCCAAAGTCTTAACAGATAATTGCATGGCTCCAAATCTTTCTATACACTATGCCCCATGCCTCGCAGGTATACAATAACACTGTTCCCTCTGTTGGGGCTTCGGCCTCCTTGGCCCCTTTACTATAGCTAGGCCTTCTAGCCTAGGACTAGTGTATCAGACCTGGCTTTGAGGCCCTAGTTCTCGTTTGTCCCTTCCATTCACTGGGCCCCATGCCCCTGTTTGCCAGGCCCTAGGGCCTTGTGTGGCTGAACCCCTTTCTGGCACCAGGACCCTGGCCCCTGTCTCTATGCCTTGCACTAAACCCACTCTGGGCTCAATATTCATTAGAGCCTTGAGCCTTGTGTGCCCTAGGGCACTAATGGGATCTTCCCATTAGTAACTGCTCCCCTACAGTCCCAACCCAAACCACTGATGTAGACACAACATAAATACAAGCTCCCGGGTTATAACATAAATAATAACAGTTGAAGCAGGCCTTTGCCCCTTTAAGAGGGCAAACCTTCCTTCACCCCTTGTGCTGGTGTACCTCCCAGCATGGGCTCCTTTTGAGCTTCCAAAGCCACAGTGTTGATGCAGGCAGCAGAGCATTCTATCTAGCATCCATGGGTTGCTGGGGCTCCTGGGCAGGAGGTCCAAACCCTGTGGCTGGCAGAGCTAGACTGGCTTTCCAGCCCAAACCCCAGGTGTATATGTACCCAGGGCCCTGCCTACTTCTGGTCAGCTGACTGCCTGCAAGTATCTGCTAGTTGCCCAATATCCTGTTGCCCCAACAACCTGTAGCTACTGTGCTCTGCCTATCCTGTAGACCCCCCCGGGTAGGCTGCTTTTATCTTAAAGTAACAGGGAGCCCCAGGCTTTCTGTTACATAAGGTTACTCATTCACTCTCATTTACTACTTACAGTGACTTGAGAACTTCTACCTGAACTAATATAGCAATGCTTTTACTGGGGTTTTCATTAAGTTTTCCCAGTCTTCATGATACCCTATCAATCTTTGCTACAAATGGGAGAGAGATTAATAAAATCTGGAGTAGCCAATCAAGAATTTCCCTCCTGTGCCAGCTCTGTGCATATGATCTACTCTCCTGTAGCAAGAAAGATCACTCCTTATTTTTTAAAGAAAAAAAACACTGTTATTTCTCTTCGGGCTGGCTGATGCCTGTATGGCACAGCTTTGGGTCATGGGCCACATGAAGAAATCACCATGTTCAGAAGGCTTTCTGAAAGATCTTTATCCCTCAAGCAGATACAAAGCAGAGAGTAATTCTGTGGACTGGGAATGCTGACTGTTAGAGGGTGCAAGGTTTATAGTCACCCAAATCAAGGCTATTTGGCTGGTAAGGGCTGAGGATGATATGATTGCAACAATATTTTTGGACAGACTGCTGTTGCTGTGTGTTGACCTTTACACTTTAAAAAAAGGCCTTGTAATTGTGTAGGCCTTTTCACAGGAGAATGAAAAAGAAAAGAGCAAGATCTTTGTCCCTTTCCTGTTTGCGTACTTGTGTGGGGCCAAGTATAGATGATTGCTTTTCAAGGTTAGATTAAGGCTGAACGTGATGGTTAAGTTCCTGTCCCACTGAAGTCAATGGCAGAATTCCTATTTACCTTACCGATGCCAGGATTTTACCTTGTTTTGAATTGTCAAAAACAAAACAAAACAAAACAAAACAAAATGAACCAACAAACAAATAGACAAAATCCCTCTGGCTATCTTATACATGTTAATAAAGCACGCCCCTTACTTTCTGATAAAATATTTCGAAAACTGTAATATTGATTAATCAGACTTTCCTGTCAAGTAAATTCTTTTCAACTCTAACATATTTTCCCATTGGACTTCACTTGGCAGTTACTGTAAGACTTTTACATTCTCAAATAAAATCATGGCTTATGACTCTGTTTTCTTTAAAAAGAAGATGAAAGATATCAAGACTACAGAAGAAAATACTATTTCTATCCAATAAGTGAACGAAAAAAACAGTTACCTGGAGTGTGGAAAGAAGTAACTTTTGGAGTGGAATGCACTTGGAAACTTTTCAAAAAGGGAACTGTGTCAGCCAGGGGACATACGTACAGCCCCTGTGGCATTCCCCAACTAGAATATTTCAAAACATTGCAGCCTCCTCTAGCACTTGCTAGAAAGAGCAAGAAAAAGCCCTGATAACCAGGATTACTGGTTTTCTCTGATAAAAAAATACAACCCAATTTTTGGTTTTAAAAAAGTAACCCAAAATCCACATTTTTCTGTGATTAAAATGAAACACCACTTAGTGTTTCCAGTTAATCTTGGAAAAATGTGGATTTTGGGTTACTTTTTTAAAACCAAAAGCTAGGGATTTTTTAAAATCAGAGAAAACCAGGATCCCTGGTGATAACTGAGGCGCTACTCCTGCCTTTCTCGCTTCCAGACAGCAAGGGTGCATACAGGTGAAAGGTAGAGGACAGTGGAGAGCACTGGACTGGAGAGGTAAGCAGAAGGGAGGGGAGCCAGTGGGGGCTTCACAATACAGGGATCCTATTTCCCCAGTCCTAAGTTCCCTGCACCTCTCCTTTTCCCTTCTCATCAAAGTAGAGAGGGGATTGAATCTGGAGGGCCTAGCTCCAGTGGCAACTCCAGGAGATAACAGCAAGAGGTAAGCCTAGTTTTGGCTCCTGCAGTGGGGTAGGTGAGATGCAGGGGTCCCATTGGATAGGTGGCAGCACCCTCGGACTCCTAAGTGGGACCTAGCGGTTGGACAGCTGGCAGGCTCTCCACCTGTGAATAAGTAATAAAAAGTGAAGCACTCAAACACGGTACTTAATTTCAAAATGTACTCTTTTGGAGCACTCACTTCAAGACTTCTGGTGCATTTCAAAGGGCATGTATGTACCTTTGTACAGCTGGCCCTTTGAGACATTTCAGTTGTTGTTTCCATCTACACTTTTGGACTACTGTCAGACCTTCACTTAAGGATATGACGGGATCTGATCAGCAGTTCCAATGATCATGCCTCCTGCCATGCCACATGAGTACGGCAGGACATTTGATTTTGAGACTGGGGATTAGATCCCTATCATGCCTTACTTGCCAGTGCAGACAGAGCCTAGGATGTGTCTCCCTGCACCCGCAAGTTGAAAGTAGGTGTCCACAATCAGTTGATAGTCACCTAGGGCAGGGGACTGAACAAGGGTCTGGAACTGTCACCAGTGTGATCCCCCAGCCCCAGCCGACAATCAGCTAATTGTCCAAGCCCAGCTGGGGACTAGAGAGAGACTCTTTGATCCCAGGATCCCTGGGCACCAGAGATGTCAGAAAACCATCTGTACAGCCCAGCTACAGATGGTTTTGAAATATCTGGGGAACACTGATCCTGAGATTGGGGAGATGCTCCCTGAACGGGCTCACTACCCCCCCCCCCCCATCTGCCTCTGGGGGTAGGTGGGGGCAAAAGGCTCAGGGTCTAGTTTTGCCCCCAGTCCAGTTAGGTAAGGCACAACTGTGTCCTGAACCCTGGAGTGTCGGGGTCTGTCATAGGGCATCCCCAACTGACCACACATTCACTTTAAGGTATGTTAAACACAGGCCACAGAGTTGTTAAACACTGCATGTGGAATAACTTTGTGGCCCATTTACTTAATTAGCCTACCTTAAATTTACTTGAATATGTGACTAGGATACTATTTAAGGATGATTAACAGGTTAATCATGTTTTAAATGTATTCTGTATCAAGGGCCTTGGATTCTTAGCATTTGAATTAAGTATCTGAAATGCAAAATGTTGCAGGTTGCATAAAAATACTAAAGAAAAAAAATGAAGAAAATTAATTCCTTCCAGTTCTATTTCATCACTTTTGTTTTATTTAATGGATTTCAGAGTTACTCTCAGGTTGGGTAATACTTTGCATGTAGTGAAATTAATCAACAATTTCAAAGTAATCAAGGTGCAAAATTTACTCTCTTGTACCTTTACTTATTTTTAGTGAATTCAGAAGTTGTTATGAAGGTACTATTTTTGGTATAACAGAACAGAACATCTTGAGGAATACTGGGTTCTTATTTCCCTGAGGTTAAGGAGTCAAAGTTCCTGCTTGAAGATTAGGTCCTCATAACCTGCCATTTTAAATGTTATAAACTTTGAATTGTAATATTAAATACCATCACAATGAAAGTTTCCCAGTGACAAAACTGAAAAGAAAAAAATTGACTTAATACAAATAGAATAAACTTAAGGCAAGCCATATTTTTAAATCAACTCACAAATGTGAATAGGGAATAATGTCAATAAGCATATTGTAAGCATTCTTACTCATTCAGCAGATTATATTAGACCATCTGTGAAATATTCACCTGACTAGTGTGGGTCTCTCTATGCCTTTGAATTGATGAACTTGCTGTATTGCTGGCTGACAGTCTTGAATATTCATTTTCCTCTGGTAAACCTAAAAGAGAATAATATTAATTTATAATCTGAAATGTATATGGTACAGTACATTAAAGAGTGCCCGATACCTTTTACTAAATAAGGAAAACATTATAAATTTGGTTATATATTGCTATCCTCAAAACTTATTGAAATTTTCCCAAAGATATTATTGCTATTACTCTTCAACTATAAATAGCTGCATAGGCATAGCAACCACTTACCAGGAAGAACAAAGACAGAGGAAGAATTTGACATATACTATATATTTACTTTGCACCAGTCTGGGATTCCTCCTTTAGCAGAGGTATCCCTACTTCCTCTTTCAGAATGACTCCCAATACTTTTTTTGCCATGGAAGTATTTCCACAGGTATAGAGAAAAAGGCCATGATTTTGCCCTAAATAACTTTCTAAATCACACAGGATGTCCATTGTTGATTGAGGAAATGTACCTTGATCTCATGAGTCTGGTGTTCTTTGTACAACTTACACTATTTTTGCACTGTATATATTGTTCAAAAAGTCTTTAGAAAAATAATAAAAGGTTCAAAGCTTAATCTGAAAAAAGGAACCTGTATTGCACTGAGAGGTTTGTCTATGAAACTGGTATGGGAGCAGGCGCTAATAAATACTGCAGACTAACAAACTTCTCCTTGCTAGCAGTGATTGCAAGGGGTGATTTTGTGAAAGAGCAACAGCTATTTTATATTTGGATATTCATTTTTGTGATAACATATCTGGATAATAAAAAAAAATAGAACTAATTGTTTGTCTGGTTTGATCTCAAGGTAATTTTATACCGGTAGGTCTTCACTGATTTAAATGACTCCTAATTAGGAGTGAGCCATTTTTTTTCAATTTTTTTGTCCTTGATCCAAAACAATTCAATGATTTGGGGCAGTATTGTCTGATGGCAGAAAATTTGGCACTGAGACACCACTACCAGAATCAGTGAAGAGGAAGGAGGGCTCTCTGTGGCAGAGCACCTTCGGGCTTAAGGGCTTAGAGCAGGCAGCAGTGCAGCCAGCAGGTGCAGACCAGCCCTGATTATGTGGTCACATGACTGCAGGAGGGCACTGTGATAGGAGGAAGGGGCTGAGCAGCCTCCATTTTAACTCAGGTCCTCAGGGGAGACAGCAGTTTTCTGGCTACAGCTGTAGGAAGAACATCTCCCAGCTGGACCTGCTGCTCACAACATCTTGGAGGTAAGGGCAGGAGCTATGGGGATAGCAGGAGGCTCTTGGTCCTGGGGAATGACCAAAAGCTACACCCTGCTGGGGTAGGATGGTCTGGTGGGTCCACCTGTGGTGGGGTGGTCCCCAGGAAATGCCAAGCCAGTTGCATTCCCAGTGAAAGGTAAGGGGCGCCTTAAAGCCCCAGCCTCCATTACTTGATGGTTTAGATAGGGACAGTGATAGGGACAACCACAGGGGCCAGGTATGTCTACAGACACCTGAGCCCAATGGGGCATAAGACCCCAGAGGCCTCAGAGCGAGGGCAGAGAGAGAGCAATCTCAGTAAGGGGGCAGAAGTATGTGGGAAGGCCTGAACAGAGTAGGGTGCATGATGGTGGCCTGAAGGGCTGTGCATGATGGGGTGTAGAGAAGGGTCTACTCAGGTTGGCCTGGCTGCACCAGGGGTGTGCTGAGTAGGGTTGCCGGGGCAGCCTGAATACAGCATGTGGGCCAACTGCCACAAGAGTGCTGACATAAGAGAGTGTCCCGGAGCAGCTGCATAGAATAGGATCTGTGTGAGGGCAGCCTGAAGGGCTATGTGTGGACTGGCCAAAGTATGAGTAGGAAAGCCTGAAGGGCTGTGTAGAGTAGGGCCCAAGGGGGACCTAAAAGGGCTGTGCGGAGTAGGGTGGGTTGAGAGTGGCCCAGTGAGGGGCAGTATGAATGAGACCCAGAGTGGGCAGTGTGTTTGAGGCCTGTAAAGGGCAGAGTGCTATAGGACCAGCAAGGGGCAGAGTTTGGCCCAGCCATGGGCTGGAGCTATTATCAGTTTATGATGCCATCTGCAAGGCATGGGACATGGTACAGGGGAGGTCAGAACCGTGTATAATGGTCTTGGCATCGGGGCACGTAATGTGCAGCCTCCTGCATTTTACACCAGTTATTTATTCAAGTCGTGGTAGGGGAGATAGGGTAGCCCACCCCTAGACAGGTGGGCAGGCAGAAGGTGAGACTTGTCTTGAGATGGCCTCCTGTCACACTCTCCATATAGCTTAGTGATTTACAGGGATCTGGGTTTTCCATTTTCCAAGGGAAAATGGAGAAAAATGTAAATTTCTCTGTTTTACCGTAGAAAAATGTGGATTCCTCATTTTAGCAGAGAAACATGCAGATTTTGCACTTTTGCAAAAAACTCTCTGCCGGCTGGCAGAGTTCCAGCCTGCAAGGGGCTGGGGGAGTGGGAGGAAGGCAGTCAGGCAGGGGCCACCATGTGCAGGTGTATTCACATGGCTGCCAGGCAACCTGGAGAGCAGCTTCTGCAGATAATTCTGGTGTGTGTGTCTGTGTGTGTGGGGGGGGGGGTTGGCACCCATCAGGAGAGAGGGAGGGAGTTGAGCAGGGCTGGGGCTCCAGCTGCTGTTCAGCTGGGCAGTGAATGAGGCTTGGGGCTGAAACTTGCAGCTGCAGGGCCATGGTGGAGAGTGAGATAGGGCTGCAGGTGTATCGTCCAGGGTGCGGAAGGTGGGGTCAGCTTTCCACAGCTGCACGCAGTCATGGAGGGGGGGAAGAGGACCTGTGCCCCCCCTCTCCCAATTTGTGCATGAAGAGGAGGCAGGCTGTGGGCTTGGGCTCCCCACCCTGCTGCCCTCCCCCAGGACGTCTATATTCCAGGAGGTGGGACCCAGTGCAGCAGGACAGAACCGGGCTGGCCAAGGAAGCTCCTTATTCATAGATTCATCGATTGTAAGACTTGAAGGGACCTCAGAAGATCATCGGGTCCAGACCCCTGCACCAGGCAGGAAAAATGATAGGTGGGATCAGCTGATCCCAGCAAGTTAACTATCCATTCTCCTCTTGAAGATTTCCAGGGTAGGTGATTGTATCACCTCTGAAGGGAGCTTATTCCACAGTCTGGACACCCGAACTATGAAGAAGTTTTTCCTAATGTTGAGCCCAAAACAGTCTTCCCAGATTTTGCGGCCATTACTACTGGTTTTCCCCAAGTGCACCCTGGTGAACAGTTGTTCACCGAGCCCTTGATGTACACCCCTGATGTAGCAGTAAGCCACTATCAAGTCTCTTCTCAGCCTTCTCTTTTTCAGGCTGAAGAGTGTCAAGTCCCACAGCCTTTCCTCATATGGCTTGCCATGCAAGTCTTTGATCATGCAGGTTGCCTTTCTCTGGACTCTCTCAAGCTTTACCATGTACTTGGTGAAGTGAGGCGCCCAGTACTGAATGCAGTACTCCAACTGGTCTCACCAATCCTGAGTAGAGTGGAAGAATTACTTCCCTAGTTTTGCTTAAGATGCATTGATTGATGCATGCCAGAATATTATTTGCCCTGCTGGCAACAGAGTCGTGCTCCCAGCTCATATTCATGCTTTGGTCTATTATTACTCCCAGGTCTCTTTCATTCATAGTACTGGTCAGGTTGCCATTATCAAGCCTGTAGTTATGCAGGGGATTGTTTGTCCCCAGGTGAAGCACTCCATGCCACTGCATGCCCTACACCGTCCTGGTGAGGCATCACCTGTACATGCAGCTGTAGTGGGGTCAACTGCACAGGGTTGTGCCTTTTGCTGCTCTGGGGTGGGCCGGGGGCATGTCACCAGGGCAGTGTAGGGCAGCCCTGCTCTGCCTTGCTGCACTGGGTCCTACCCACTGTGCTGCGAAGACCCTGGGGGAGGGCGGCAGGGCAGGGTTCCCAAGCACATAGCGGACAATCAGCACTCACTCCCAACCCTACACACTGATTAGGAGGGCATGGGTCCCCCCAGACCTCCTGGGAGTGTGCACAGCAGCAGGGAGCCTGACTCACCCTGCCTGAGCCCAGAGCAGGCCACCCACACCACCCTGACACAGGGTCTACTCTGGCCACGCTGCCTACTGGGGAGGGGGAGCCAGGCTCTGTGCTCTGCTATGCTGCACCAGGAGGGCTGGGAAGGCAGGGCACCAGCAGGGCCGAGGGGCTGTGGGTGGGGAGTGAGAGGCACCA